ATTAATCACCCCTCAACCCCCTATTAATTACCCCAGGCACTCATTAATGACCCCAACCACTCACTAATTACCTCACGGGTTTTCAGTAATGACCCCAACCACTCTCATTAATTACCCAAGCTCTAATTAATTACCCCAGCCACTCAATGACTTCACTCATTAATCACCCCTCCACCACCTAGTAATTACCCCAAACACTAATTACCCAAAGCACTCATTAATGACCTCAATCCCTCTCGTTAATTACACCAACCACTCATTAATTACACTAACCACTCTCATTAATTACCTTAACTGCTCTAATTAGACTTTAACTGCTCTAATTACCCCATCCACTAATGACCCATTCACTAATGACACCAACCACTTTCATTAATTGCCCCAGTCACTCATTACCTCAACCACTCTAATTACCCCAACCACTCATTAATTACCTAAACCAGTTATTAATTACCCCACCCACTCATTAAGTACCTTAACCACAGTAATTAATGACCCCAACCACTCTCATTAATTCCAACCACTCATTAGTTACCCCAACCACTATTAATTACCCCATGACTAATTGCTCCAACCACTCACTAATCACCCCTCAGCAATTGCTATTAATTGCTTCAACCACTCATTAATTACCCCAAGGGCTCTCATTAATTACCTTAAACACTCATTAATGACCCCAACCACTCTTATCACCCCAACTGCTCTTACTAATTACCCCAACCACTGTTAATTACCTCAACCACTCATTAATTACCTAACCTGGTTATTAATTAGTCCAACCACCAATTAACTAATTAACTCATTAATTATCTAAACCAGTTATTAATTACTCCAATCACTAATTAACTAACTCATTAATTACCCAACCCAGTTATTAATTACTCCAACCACCAATTAATTAACTCATTAATTACCTAACCCAGTTATTAATTACTCCAACCACTAATTAACTAATTAACTCATTAATTACCTAACCCAGTGATTAATTACTCCAATCACTAATTAACTACCTTAACCACACTAATTAATGACCCAAACCACTCTCATTAATGACCCCAACCCCTCTCATTAACCCCAACAGCCCCTTTACTCATTAACTTTCTTAATTACTAGTAATGACCCTGAAACATCGCTCCCTCATTAACTACCCCCACTAATTACCCTCCACTCCATCTCCCTCAGTAGCTCCCCCCCCATTTCCCACTTTCCCAATGACTTCCTCATTAATTCCCTCACCCCAATTACCACCCCTGTATTAATTACTCTTAATTAACCGCGGGCTCGCTAACGAACTCACTCCACCTCGTGGGTGATCTTGTTGACGTAGATGCAGCTGTTGTCGGCCTCCTGCTGGTAGTCGCAGTTCCGGCACTGGGGGGGCAACGGGGGGCACAAACTGGTCCCAGTATCAAACTGGGAGGGGTCACTGGTCCCAGCACCAAACTGGGAAGGGGGTGACCGGGTCCAGTAACCAGTCCCAGTACCAAACTGGGAGAGATCACTGGTCCCGGCACCAAACTGGGAGAGGGGTGACTGGACCCAGTACCAAACTGGGAAGGAGTGACTAAACCCAGTACCAAACTGGGAAGAGGGTAACCGGTCCCAGTACCAAACTGGGAAGGGGGTAACCGGTCCCAGCACCAAACTGGGAAGGGGGTAACCGGTCCCGGCACCCGTCCCCCGCGCCAAACTGGGAAGGGGGTAACCGGTCCCAGCACCAAACTGGGAAGGGGGTAACCGGTCCCAGCACCAAACTGGGAAGGGGGTAACCGGTCCCGGCACCAAACTGGGAAGGGGGTAACCGCTCCTGGCACCAAACTGGGAGAGGGGGTGACTGGACCCAGTATCGAACTGGGAGAGGGGGTGACTGGACCCAGTACCGAACTGGGAGGGGGCTGACTGGTCCCAGTA